GCAGCAGCAACCTCATCTTGGAAACTGGGAGCCCAACGTGTAGGTAATATGTCATCTGGCATTATGCAAACTGCTACATATTACATATCATCATGAATAAGGCCCCTTTTTGGAAAACCAAGCAAGTGCATTAAATAATTGTGGGGCTTTGATGAAGAAAACAACAACAGCAGTCTATCCAGCTCCTCTACTTAATGGCTGCTGTGGAATAAGTCTAAAGCCAGCAAAGAATTCTAAAATTGAAGAATCAACCCCTAAAATGTTAGCATTAAACATACAAAAAACAAAACAAAACAGAAAAACAGAAAAATTACCCATACTAACCAGGTGCTCCACTACCAAAGCAACAACCCAACCTCCCACAGAGAAGTTGTGTAAGGACTTTATTTAAATGAGCCCAAACACACTGCAGCAACCCAGAACAGCAGAAAAAAGGAAATGGAGCATCTATACAACACTTCATCAAAAAGTCCTTGACCACTCAACCCAATACAACACAACCAAAACAAACCCTAAAAAGAATTACACTGCCATACATCAAGAATATCTCAGAAACAACAAATAGACTACTACAACCACATGGAATAAACATAGCACACAAGCCAAGTAGAGCCCTAAGCAAACCAAAAGACCCAGCAATCCCAGAAGAAAAAACAGAAGTCATCTATAACATACAATATAAGAACTGCAACAAACAGGACAAACAGGCAGAAGACTGGCAAAATGCATCCATGAACACCAACTGGCAGTCAAAAGACATGACAAAAATTCTTTAATTTCACAACATATACTATAGATAGATTTAACCATAGTTTCAATTGGGAAAATGTGACAATCCTAGACCAGGCCAAATCCAAAAATGCCAGGCAATTTCTAGAAGCCTAGCACTCTGACAAATCATCCATCAATAGACACATAGATGTTAACATCTATAGACTATGCAAAAGAGGCAATCAACCAGCCCAAAAGAGAAAAGGACTCCAGCACCTCTCCACCAACAATCGGCACTCAGATCAACATAGATTAACTCCAAGGTCAACTTCAGACCAACAATCAAGTAAGCAAAATCAATCAAGAAACTGCCAAAGAGCCATTAGTAAACAGCCCAACCAAAGAATCCCTAGGACTTCCCCCACCCACCCAGACACCAGAATATAAACTGACAGCAAACAGCACTCCTTACTATCACTGATGATGTTACCTAGTTAGGGTAATAAAATGTGTGCAAAAAAAAAAGCAAGCTCAGAGAGCACCAAGGACCCCTCATTTCAACCCTGAGCTATACATATTCTCCTTCATTGGCATTAAACATAGCCATAGAGTGAATAGTCCAGTAGTGTAGAAGAGTCTTTCCTACCATGGAAAGAAAGGAAGGCAGTATTGCAAATCAGCATAGCATATGGGGCAGATCCTCTGCATATTCAAGGGTGTCCTTGGGTTATATAAAAAAGTAAAGATGGTGGTTGTGGCTATGCAATCAAAAGTACACCTGTTTGATATGTATTGAGTTTCACTCAAACTATTGCAGCCACCATCTTGACATTTTTATCACCTCCTGTAGACACTCCTGATGTACCCAGTGATACATTGGAATGCTTGAAGAGAAGGACATAGCTTCTCAGATGTCCTGCAGTTTCTATATCAAACTGGAATCCAAAATCTTGAATTCCAGTGGGAAGTGGGGAGGCAGGGAAGTTAGTATAAGAGATTTAATATGCATTACAAAACTAGTTGCTACATTTGGCAGAAGCTGTTTCCAAACACAAGGTCATCAGCACTTCTCAATGAGAGGTGATGAAGTCTTGAATCAGCAGCAAGATGTTCTTCACCGCAAAGACACAGTGCACCTCTCAAAGGCATTTGAAACCACTGCTATCAACTGAAAACAACTCCTGAGCCCAGAATATTTCAAATTAGTTCAGGTTAGGTTGCCTAGAGGTCCTCATCTTCTCAGGACTGAGCTTTAGTTGGTTCATTTACAAGATTGAAACAGAGAGAAGAACCTTTCTATTGTTAGAATTTTGATGTGATTCGGCCCCAGAATGGCCTTTCCCAGCAACCACGTAGATGTGTAGAAAATGGGACAAAATAGAGCTTCAAGGAAGCAAATATTAGAAGGAACTGCATTATGGTGCCCACAAACATAACCTCCTGTTCCCCAAAGAGCTTTGCCCTATGATAAAAAAAAAAATCATTCTAATGCAGTTGGAATTAAATGTTGGACAGCTGAGGATACTGTAGGATGAAGCTTTGTCTTCTAATATTGGTGATCTTTATTCCTCTGCATGTCTGATTTCATGTGGACAGTATGGGTAGACAGCAGTTCTTTCTTTGAGTTGTTGAAGGAAGGAAGGAAGGAAGGAAGGAAGGAAGAAAGAAAGAGAAAGAGAGAAAGAAAGAAATGGAGGGAGACAGTTTGGTGCAGTGATTAAGACAGCAGGCTAGAAACTGATCTTGGGCATGAAGCCAACTGGGTGACCTTGGGCCAGTCACTCTGTTTCAGCCCTAGGAAGAAGGCAAAGGCAAACCATTTTCAAAATCTTGCCAAGAAAACTGCAGTGACATGCTCAGGAAGTTACCATGATTCAACAAGGGGTCAAAGGCATATATACTTATCCATCCACCCATACATGCATACACACATACCCACACAACCCTGCAGGAGGGGGCAGAGAACCTGTTGCTCAGCGTGAGCTAAAGGAAAAGAAAAAGCAAGGTCTGTGCTAGATCTAAAGCTTCATGCCTGGAGGAGAGTTGGGTCTTGATGGGAAACCTTGGGTGAAAACAAGGTAGGGTGGTCTGCAATTGAACCTGGGAGACCAGGACTCTCACCAGGGAATAAGTGCCTACAAGTGCCAGAGACAGAGGGGGAAAGAACCTGTGTGGCATGCAATTGAGATGATGCTGAGAGGTGGGGATATCGGCATCCATTTCAAGTCATAATATTAAAATAGCCTGTGTGTCATGCTGTCATTGTGCAAAGGATGTGATAGTTTATAACAATTTTATTTATTATGGTTGCAACCAAAAACCAAACCTACATCATCTGCTTCAGTTACAACACACATTATTTGCTCCATTTGCTTGATGTTATCAATGCAAAGGATAGCATTGAAGTGTATACCAGTCATCTACAATACCTGCTGCTGGGTTTATGATCAGAAGAAATCCAAAACATGATGTCTGAGTTACATCTAATTTATCCCTTAATATGTTCTATATATGCAATCAGCATTTGGTGTCAGTCTCAGTAGCTAGCTGCTCAGCCATTGGATGGACAAGTATTGGATGGATTTTCTACTTGCTGCCCAGCCAGAGAGGATGAAAAATGTCTAGAGTGCTGCCTTGACCACAGGTGGAAGTTGCCATATGGACTATTTTGAACTTCCCTGAAGATGCCTTGAATGCAAAATGGAGGACAAGGGAAGAGAGATGAGGCCAGTCATTTTGTGGAAATGCTCTGTGTCCCAAGAAATGATAACCCATGACAAAATGTTATAGGACCAGGATTATAACTCCCCCATATATTTATGGAGCCTTTTCCTCTTATCTCTATACCTGTAACAGGGCCAAAGAAATGATATTCATGCATTAAAAGCTATGGGTCTTTGAGTTTGGGGAAACAGACTGATATAAAAGCTCCACCTTGCAGAGACTGGAAATCTGAATTGGTAGCAAAAGGTGTTCTAAAATTAATTTTACTGCACTTTATTTGGGACCACATGCTGTTGTATCAAATCCACATGGCTCTTGATTGTTGGGGTAAAAGAATGACTATAGAGTTTTAAATCCTCAAAAGAGCTTAAACTTCTGACTGCCTGTGGGTGCTAAATGTTGACATTAAAAATGACACTAAAAAAACAAATGATTAAATGAGATAAATTTAGAGTACTCAGATCAAAAGCAAATCCTCTTACTTAAAAAAACAAAGTCTGCTATTTATAATGATGTCTTTGTTGTCAAATATGTATTTAAAAAGAAAATATAAAAGTAACTTTTTTCTGAAGGCTTGGTATACAGTCTCCTGCTTGAGGATGGGGTTGGACTAGAAAAGCTCCAAGGTCCTTCCAACTCTGTTATTTTGTTCTGTTCTGTTCCCTCCACCCCCAGTCTTGGATATATCCAAGATTATGGGGCCTCTCTGAATCTCCATTCTGCCCTCCCCATTAAAATAGTGATCCAATTTAACAAAAGGATATCCCTTGCCTCATTTGGGTGAAGGATAAATTTTGCATAGCAGTTAGAGCAGTTCATTTCTACATGAATATTGCCAATTCTGTCCCCTAATTCTCTGGGCCATTCAATTCAATTTGCTAGACCAGTGATGGCGAACCTTTTAGAGACTGAGTGCCCAAACCGCAACCCCAAACCCACTTATTTATCGCAAAGTGCCAGGGGCCCATCAGCATTGTAGTGCCCTCGGAGGGGGCACACAAAAACCAGGGGCGCAAAAATGGGCCACCGTGCTGCAAGGCGCAAAAACAGCCACCGCTGTGCTGCGGGGTGCAGATACAAGGCGCTGCATAAGCAAGAATGGGGCAGGGCTAGTGAGTATCATGCAGGCACCAGCCCCACCTCATTTGCAGCGCGTGCATACTCGCGGCCTCGTGCATGCACACGCACATGTAAAATACTTCCCCCTCCCTTTTCTTCTAGTCTGCCAATCGACAATGGTTGGTGACCTCTGCTCTATCACCTCTACTCAAGCTTGCTAGTCATCCGCTTCACCTCCTTTGTGCTGGGCGGGGCTCCTTTTCCGGGTGGTGGTGGTGGCCTGATGGACCTGCAGCTGGTGGCGGCACACGTGCCAACAGAGAGGGCTCTGAGTGCCACCTCTGGCATGCGTGCCATAGGTTCGCCACCACTGTGCTAGACTGAAATGCTAGTGAGTAGATGGTGGCCATCAGACTCACTTCTGAGTTAGTGCATTTAGGACTGCATGCAAATTATGCACATGTAGAAAGACAATTGGGACAAGCAGGAGACAGAACCATAGAGAACAATTTTAAAAGGCTTTATTTTTAGCAGTGTACATTCAAAAATAATTAAAAAGTGCATAGCATTGAAATAATCACTTTGGTTAGAAATATACAGGAAAGAATGAAGCAATACTTGGAACTTTTCACATCTTTGTAACATTTGCATAGCTCACTATATAAATCCATTTTTATCCAAGCCTCACCCTCTTTTACATGCACAATGGGAATGAGACTTTGATTGCATGGCTGTGGCCTCCATCTTGACTTTTTTGATATTTTATCTGCACCAGACACCCCTGAGATCCATTGAGAAATAGTTTTATTGTATCTTTATTGAAAAGCTCATTCTGACTCTTCCTTTCCTAAATACAATATATCACCCCCTCCACCCAGACTTCCTTTTTGTCTGATCTTGCTTGATATAGTGTTTTTACACCAGTGGTGGGATTCAAATATGTGAACAACCGGTGTGGATGCTGCTTCTGGAAGTCCATTCTGCACCTGGGCACAAAAAATTAGCTACCGGTTCTGTCGAAGTGGTGCAAACTGGCTGAATCCCACCACTGTCTTAGACATCTTATGCACTGACATGTAAAATCAAATTGGCCTAATAAAAATGTGCCTTTGTATTCGTATTGGATATTACAACATAGAAGACAATTGCTGGCAATCCTTCCATCAGATTTATCTCTTTCATCTGACACTTTTCTCCCAAGTTACACAGAGGAAGAAAGGAATGGATGACTGGTGGAGAGGATTAATAGTTACAGTCATATTTTTTTAGCAAAAGAACAAAATACATTGCATTTACTTCCACAAGTGGAGGTTGACTGGAGAACAATTCAGATTGTTTGCTCTTGATACTGTTTGCAAGACAGTTGTGCCCGTAGTAACTCAAGACCTTTGGCCTACTTCCCTTGCCTTTCTAACTGCACTTTTTATCTTGTATCATTGAAATGATGAAGTAGCAAAGATTTTGCCACATTTCAGAGCAGTTCTCTTCAGCCACCTTTCTCTGATCCACGTAATCAATATCTTCCACACAATCACTGGATTCTTTCTCTGGCTGCTTGGGTGTTGGGATCTCTGGCTTGGTATCCATAACCAGTCTAAGATGGGCAGTAGGTGGCCCAATCTTACAGACTTTAGATTTTAAAACAGCCTTGGGGTCCTTACAGAGATTCTTCTGCTTCTTTAGAGATCGAGTGATTTCCTTCCAGAAGACCTTCTGGTTTTCTGCATACTGCGGGCAGGTAGATGGACTGCCTGAAAAAGCACAGGAGAAAGCATCTTCCCCTTTTTTGCAGTCTACCTTTAGCAGAGTGGTCTCTTTCTCATTTATAGTCCAGGAACATTCAGCCTTCTCTTTAGTTGTAAACTTCCCTTTTGTGGGAAAACCTTTTTGTCCTCTGTTTCTCTGGCCCTTGGCATTCTTATTATGTCCAGCTTGGGCTCTTCCCCCTCTGCCATTATTTGGTCTCTCTCTTTTTCTCTCTTTCACTATTTCACTGTCAGCTTGCAACAGCTGACAGAATATCATAAGGATACACAGCAGAGCAAAATGTTTGGTCTTCATGTTTCCTGGTGCTTTTTGAAACCTGTTTTGAAAACAAAAATCCTTTGTAAAAAAATATGTACCGGTATCTATTTTTATGTATGCTAGACATGCCCTAATATAATCAATTATCCATTATCAGCAAAGATTGTAAAATAGGACAACATCAGTGCTTGTCCTAATGATATTTTGAGCATGAACTTTTAAGACTGCGTAAGATAAATGGAGAAACTATTCCTTTTCCTCCTTGCAAGGAAGTCACAGCATGCTCAATGTTCCTAAGTGGAAATACAAGGCGCAATCTGAATGATTAATTCATATGAATTTGGTGACCTCTACTATTAAACTGCTGCAAAAGGCGGATGACATTTGAGTCTGACATCCCCTAGAGAAATGGAAAAATATTAACAATGTAAGAAAGAGACTATGACAAAAATATAACCAACAACTAGAGAAACCAATTTTGCTGTAGAATTTGAAGCATAATTGTCAACTAATGTGAAACTCTCATTGCGGAATAAACCTCACATTGCTGGGTTATTGTGAGTTCCAGAGAGGAAAAACTGATAAAACAGCAATATTGAACATTTAAATAGAGTTATGATGCCATAGCAGTGGAAAAGGTCTATTAAAAAAAACCCTACAATACTGAACTTTTCTTATTTTAAAGTAACCATCTCAATTATGAATCACATCTCCTTACTCCTTTCTGGTTCTGACAATTCAGATCATGGAACAAAATCTCCTGTGGTTCACCTGCCACTTTGTTGATATACATGAAAAGCAATTCTATTTCCTTTACAAATCTGTTCCATGTTTTCTTCATTAGAACTATTCACATGTTAAGTGAACTCAGTCAATTTCAAGCTACTTTTTACTGAATACAATAAACCAATTAATTCACATCACAAAAAGCAAAGTCTACTTAATGAGAAGACTAATTCATCAGAGGATCGGTCATCCAAAGTCTGACTTTTCTGGTAAGGGAGATAGCAGATTGACTTTCTGCACCTCAACTTCCCTGCCTTGCTGAAGATGGAAATCTAATACCATAATCCTCGGCCCACAGACTTCAAAGAGTTGAATCTGCAGTTATATTAAGACTGCAATCTTACACAGACCTCAGATTAAATAGCACAATGAATTCTCAAGGGACATGCAATGCGCAAAGGCATTGGAATACAGGTATTTTATGCTGATCCCACAGATTTATTATGAAGAGCCAAAGTTCATCTTGATATACTTATGTTGGTTACCACTAATTCTGATAAGAAGTCTTGGAGGTTGCAATCAGGAGCTGGCATGATGGAGATTTTAATACTTTCCTGCTAATTATCCACCCATAGAAATTCCTACAGTTTCCTACTTGTTGGGGAAAAGATACTATACTTTTCTGTTTGGGGGGGCAGGGGGAAATTGATTTAGTAACTTTTACAGATAGGTGGTGAGTAATGGCTGAAGCAACCTCTGGTTGGGAATAACTGTCAGAACAGTACAGAAATAAACAAGTACGTGTAATATGTAGTTTGGTCTTCAGAAGGCAAGCAGGAAATCTAGTCTTGCAGTTCTGAGCAGTTTTCCATTGCTGATTAAAAAGAGCAAGAATACATACCTTTTGCTGTCTTATAAAAATCACGCTGGCACGCCTCTGAAGTATGGCACATTTCTGCTTATTTATATACTCAGAGACACACCTACAGGCCTCCAGAATCCTATAGCTTCGTGATAGCAGATTTGTGTGGTTTACTCACTTATCAAGACACACCTTCTGGAATAGGCCAAATTAAATTTGCAACAGTAGAAAAAAAAGCTGAGTACAATGCAGTGAAAGGTGTAGATTTGAGAAAGGGAAGATGTACAATAAACTCTCACATGTCCTGCTTGAGGCTAAGAGTAGAAACTTCCAATGGATCATGGCAAGATCTGACCAGGGAAGTGTTTGTCAATGGATAGGAGGAAAAAGTGATGGCATGAAGTGCCACGGAGTGCAGCTTTTTTATCTAAGTATAATGAACAGAAGTCCCACCGGAGTTTGCTTTCTGCTGCCATTCACCTTCTAGCAACACTTATTGGACACAGAAATAGATTTTGCCTTCAGTAATGTGGCCTTTAATCTGGGTAAATTGCCACAAAAAAGCTAGGCACCAGTCCAAAGGAAAAAGCTTAAAGGCTTTGGTGAATATATTAACTGGCTTACCATGAACTTTAGTAGACTACAACTCACAAAATCTTTTGTCTGTTTCTATGTCATGTCTATGGGCACACTGGTGATGTGCCCACTGCTGGTCTTGTCTGGCTAAGCCATCTTGGCAGCCATTTTGCAAACAAGCAACAGCTTCCCTATGGCACCTATGGCTTCTGCTCCAAGTTCTCCACTGGCCAAAATCTTTGAGGCTCCAGCTAATTCCATAATAAATGTGTTTGTGTTTTAGGTCTTGTGCTGATAGTGGTGTTTTCAGAAGCAGTGTTGATTCCTGCAGCTGTTTCTTTATCTCTTGTTCCTATTATGTAGAAATTTAATTTTTCATCTCCCCCAAGGATATAATGGTATGTGGAAAAAGCCTTGGGCCACTGGGTAAAGAGATCTGCCAAGTGATCGGATAGTAGAGAGCACAGTTTCAGCTAGATAGTGAGTGGGGCAAGAGGTTCAGGAAGGACCTCCCTAACGTCTTAGTCTGTAAAGGAGATGGGGGGATTAGATTTTCATAAGATTGATGTGGCCTCATGGAATAAACTAGATAGAAATCGCAACCAGATGAGCTAATTCTACTTTATTGCAAAGCTACACTGACAGAAACTTGCAAATATAAAATCCATATCCAAGATCCCCTCCATAACTTTTACAATCTGAGAAACTAGGGAAGGTATCTTCTGAGTCTCTTGCCCCACCCATTATTTAGCTGTCAGCTATGCTGCCTCTTATCTGACCATTCCCTTGGCATTATCTCTTGGTTCAGTCTTTTCTCACACACCATTACAAATATGCTATTGTGTCATGCTAAAGTTCATGTAAGAATATTATCATGTTTAGCAAGAATTTGTAATATTCCTATATCCACATATTTTCCTTCTTGATATTGCCTTCCACAGCCCTTTTTATGTCATTCTTCCTGTAGTGAAGGGAACAGCAAGCTAAGAAAAGAAAATCTGGAGGCAAGAACAATCATACTGTATATGTAATGATAGGATTTCCATTTGGTCTATGTCTTATAGCTTTTAGAAAACCTGCCCTGACTTATGAGTGAAGATGTCACAACTTAAAAAAATATTGAGAAATATGAAGTATGAAACTACCGGGAAAAGAAATGAAATCACAGTGAACTTCCCAATCCTTTTTTCATCCAGGAAATCATCTCAAGACAAAGGCTTGGAGAAGTCTTCTAGAATATCTTCTCCCCATCTTGTTTTCTCAACATTTGGTGGTGACCAAGTCTCTCAGTTATATGTTCTTAGGAAATTATGAAAATAAATTGCACCCTGCCCAGTTCAAGTCCATCCTTAGCCATGAGAGTCACTGGGCCAGCGGCCCTTTCTCTCAGCCCTATCTACTTCATAAGATTGCTGTAGTGGGAAAGACTTTCAGTGTTTAGAGGAAAGGCAAGAAAAAAATAAACCTTATAGAAGATAGATTGTTCTGGATTGGGACCTGCCAATATAAGAAGAGACACAGTGCAAGGAGCTCTCTAGAGAGTATAGATATATTGCATGTTTAGCTTTCAGATATATCTTTCTTTGGAGAGCTTCCTTGTTGTCTTGAGAAATGTTTTGTCCTAAGGATCAACTGCTTGAGAAAATAAGGATTTAGAAAAACTATGATTTTAAGTATGAAATTGCATTGTGCACGAGTGATAAACACATTATTGCTAAGTCTTATAAATTGTTGTTGAAACTTTACTTTAATTGAGAAGATTCTTAAAATACACATAAAATTGAAATCAGATGCTTTTCTTTTAGGTTTGCTGGACAAATGAACTTGAAAAATGGAACTTTATTATTATATATCATGACATCACTGAGAAACTTGTATGCACAAAGATGGAAAACATAATGGAAGAATGGATAATAAAGGTCATGGACTTAGCAAGATGGCAAAATTGACTATTTTAATTGAAGAGAAAAATTTGTTTAGTTTTGTTTCTTCTTAGAAACTGCTTCTGGACTTTTTGCTATAAACTGAAAAATATGAAACTATGATTTTAGGTTTTGGTGATTAGAGTGATTTTATTATTATAGAAATTTCATGTTTCTCCAAAAATAAGACCCTGTCTTATAATTTTTTTTGCACCAAAAGATGCATTAGGGCTTATTTTTGGGAAAACACGGTATCAGGGTGATTAGCTCAGCTGGGCACCCCATCATCATAATTCATACTTCCCTGCCTCTCTTTCTCTTGCTTCCCGATTCCATTCTCTTCTCTCCCTGGGTTCTGCCATACTCCTAGAGGGGAGGGGGGATGGAGCACAGGTTTATTGCCTTAGCTTCCTTTTTCGCTGTAATGTAGCACTTTGCTTCCCTGCCTTCTTTCTCTCATGCTACAATGTAACATTTTGCCTTAGCTTCCTGTATTGCTATTGTAGCGGGGACTGCCTGAGAGTGCTTGCAGGAGCTTGACTGGGAAGGAAAAGATTGGGACAGCTGCAGTTGGCTTTGGGTGTGGCTGGCGTGAGTGGAAGGAGGAAGGATAGAAAAGGAAAGGAAAGGAGAAGGCCGGTGTGGCTGGAGTTGAGAGGAGAAGGTCTGGAAGCTTATTTTATTTTTCTATCAAGGGTAT